AAAAAAAAAAAAAATAGAGAAGGTATTACCAAGAGAAAGGTGGAGAGCTCAGAGGTAAGGATTTTAACTTCTGTTTTAGAGAACTCTTGGAGACAAGCTCAATAGCCTATATGAAAATTTATAAAAACAGACCCAATGTTTTTTGTTTGTTTTTTTTTTTTATCAATACCTCTAGGGTCTAAGAACCTCGGGCCCTTACTATTTTTGTTTTTGGTTATATGGTTTGATATTCGCTTGTCCCATATTTATTTTGTGCCTACCAGATACCAGGCACTGGGAGTGAAGCACGAGGCTTTTAGTCCTCTGTCTCAGGAAGGCCACGTAGATCAACCCCGGTCATGGTCAAGAAGGGAAGAGGGGCAGAACCGATGCCTGCAGGCTCAACGGACGCTTACTGGATAGTTCCTGTGTGTATACCACGAGGCTGGGGACATACACGCGAAAGCGATACAACCCCCGCCCTTTGTCGAAGAGCTCCCACTATGGTGGGGACAGATGCAAACAGAAAATCACATACTACAGACAGAATATGGTAGTGGGGTGACGCAGAAGGGACTGTGGGGATGCACAGGACACTTAACCCAGCCTAGGAGGTCAGGGGAGCCCCGCCGGAGGAAAGGGGAGTCCTGGCCGAGTCTGGAAGGTTGAGTGAAGTTGGCCGAGTGGGGAGCGGAGGAGCAGGGAATTGGGGGCACGGGGTGGTTCTTAGTTCTGTGCATCGGGAGGGGAAGAGCGAAAGGGCAGGTTGAGCTATTCATCTACACACCCTGCGACGGAGTTTGCACTTTATCTGGAGTGTACCCGAGTGACACGATCTCAAATGTGTGCTTTAATAAGGTTCACTCTGGCCACCTCTGGAAATGCAGCAGAGGGAGAAGTCGAGGTGGGGACAATGCCCACTTGGGGTTGCTTCAAGCCGCGCCAACTCTGATGATTTCCACCTATATAAAGACCCCGGCGGCCTCCCTGTTTCTAAATCCTCATCTTTTGTGGCCTCCCGGCAACATGTGCCCCAGCTGACCGCACCTTCCTCCTGTCTCACTTTCTGCACCCAGCTCCCACGAATCCATTTCCCTCCCACCTCGGCGATCTCCCCTCTTTGGCCCCCTCTGCTAGATCTTCTTCTTCCCAGCTTTTCTGCATTGGGGGCTCCAGGATCCCCTGGGGGTCCTGTTGTGTCCTCCCCCTGCAGTGGAGATTCATCTTATCCCCAGGCTTTCAAGACCATCTCTGCGCTGATGACTCCCAGATGTCCGTTCGGCCCCCTCTTCCCTGGACCCCACAGTCCCGTCCAACCCACTCTTCCAGCTTTTACCCGGAAACCTTGTAGCTGTCTTGGACTCTCTTCTTCTCATACTTTACATCCACCTGTCAGGAAATCCTGCTGGCTCTACCTTCAGGACACATCCAGGCACTTCTCGCTGCTCGACTCCACCACCCTAGGCCACGCGACTATCATCTTCGATCGGGACTCCCTGCTCCCATCTTCGTGCTCCTACCGCCCAGGTTACTTAAAGACGTGAGGGAGATCAGGTCACTGCTCTACTCCAAAGCCTCTGTCTTAGTAAAAACCAAAGTCCACACACCTCTCCCCTGTCCTCCTGCTTTGTCCTCCTCTGGTCACCGGTCTCCTGATGTCCACCGTCCACACCTTTTGCAAAGGTGTGCCTGTCCCACTCCTCCCCCACTTCCTTGAAGGCCTTTCCTCCTCAGGCCTTCCAGCCCCAGCTCCACCCCGTGCTCTCCAGCTGCCTGCTTTTTCTCCCGCAGAACTTGCCCGTCTCATGAGCGCGGTTTCCAACACACCTTACTCATAACTGCTTATTGTCGGTTACCCCCTAGGATGCTGAAGGCAGGCAGGGAAATCTGCTCACTACCTCCACGTCTAGAACAATGCCTGGCATACAGGAGTTCTCCCTATACTTGTTGAACGAGCCAGCTGACCCTGGAGAAGGGAACTTCCGCTCAGAAGGACCATTCGGCCGGAGTAGGGGTGGAAATGCCGGAAATGCTGGAAGGTTCAGCAGTGGGTTAGGGATGGAGCCCCAGGAAGGAGCTCTGGGG